TACCTACTAATGCTTAAGGATTAACCGATTAACGTCCCGGAATTCCTCGGTAAAAGATAAGCGGCGGAAGGATTCGTTAGGCTATTTATCTATTAGCTTTACCGGCGGCGGTATCGACTTAACCCGTTAATACGTTACGGCTTTCTTTTTATCGTCCCTAGCCTTCCCGGAAACCCCAGCGATTTCTTCGTCGGTAATTCCCGTAGCCTTAAGCTATTCGAATAGCTTAAGAGCGGACGCCCGATCTAGTTTAAGGAGTTCTTTCTAGAGGGTAGGGTTTATAATATATATATATATATATCAGAGAAAAAGAAAGAAACGACGAAATTATAAATCTAGAATTAAGAAAAATCGAAAAACGAATTAAAACGAAAATAAAAGACCTAAAGAAAGGAAGAAAGGAAATAAATCGGAATCGTAAAATAACGAGAAATAAGAGGGGAGCTTAAACGAAAACGAAAGAGTCGAATACGTTACTTAGGTCGTGAGTACCGTACTTAGGAGAGTTTCGATAGTACTTACCTTAGCCTACGTTTAATTACGAGCCCGCGAACGTACGTATTTATTACTTTATTAAGAATATATAATAAGAAGTTATAAGCTAACGTATCTTTTATTATAGCTCTATACGTATACGGGGAAACGCGCTTTCTTAAAACGTTAGCCGTAAAGGTATATCTAACTATATCGTTAATACGTTTCCTTTCCTCCTTCTCTTTTTCCTCTTTAGGTATTTTATTTCGAAAACCTCCCTCTTATAATTATTATATTCTTATTAATCTCTAGCCTGCCTTTCTTATTATTAATTTAAATTCTTATTTTTACCTTTAATTTATTATCCTTTTTTCCCGGTCCCCTAATTTTTATTTTTATTTTTTACGATGTCTTTCCTTCGTTCCGCCGGTATTCCTCCATCCTTCTCCTTTTCCTTCGTTTATAGAGACGTACGTCGCGCCGATTTAACCGACTTAATAAAACTACTACGGAAGATTTATAATAATAAAGATAACTAAAATAATATAGAGAAGTACTAGCTTAGTATTCTAAATAACTACGATTCGGAAAAGGGCCCGATCGAATTAGGATCCGATATAGCCTAGGCCTTCCGGCTATTTATTACTCGGTTCCGGATTATAAACTAATAATAATAAGAGTAAACGAAGGTAGCCCTAGCTAATTCTTTCGTATATCTCGCTTATTACGACTACCTTATTAACGAAGATATCCGCGCCTTTTATATTATAATAAGTTACGATCTCGAAGGTAGAAAGGCGGCCTTCGAAGTAAACCCGTATTAAACGATAGGCTATCGATCGATAGAATCGTTTAACTTCCTAACCCGCTAGTACTTCTTCGATAACTCTACCTTTGCTTTAGTTTTTACGATTTATACAGACCTAGTAAACCCCGAACGAGCTATTACCGACCCCGAGAAGTTCTCCTAAGCCTACTTCGCCGTAATACTATACCTTCCTAAGCTCCGAAAACTATTTAGCTTTAATATAGTTAAGGACGGCGCCTTCGATTAAGCGGCGTACGCGTTCGGCTAATTACGGCGAGCCTAGAAAAACGGTAATCTCGAGCCTACGATAACCTCTTAGTTTATTTATTATATCGCGTTAGTAAATTAATAAAATAACTATAGTTACGGTTTTTAGAACGGCATTTTACCGTATTTTATCTTTAAACGACCGATCGAAGTCGCGCGTTAAGCTTAAGAAAATAAGAGGCTTAATTTCCTTAATATAATAAGGGAATACGTAAAGGTAGTAAAATAATTTTATAGCGTTCGGGTTTTAAAGGGAGGGGTTAATATCGTTAAGCGTTTCCGGTAAGCCGTAAATTACTAAAAGCGAATCGATCTTATTAACGCTATAACCTCGGCTTAAGATACGCCGATCGACGAGTTCCTTAGCCGTAAATCCTCCGTCTAGTTTATCGCATAAGCCGAAGTCCGCCGTTTTTCTATAGCCTTAGTACTTAATCCCCCTTACTTCTTCGTATTAACGAACGTAAATCTTCGCTACGATAACCTCGTAAAGGTCGTATACGACGCGTCCTATTCCTTCCTCCGGCTTAATAAGGATTAAAGCTTTCTAGTCCGAGGAAACCTCTATACCGTATAGGTAAAGAAAAGATACCTAATTAATCCTCGGAACGCGCCCGTTCCTCTACTATTCCCCTAATTAAAAGGGATAAGCTAAAACTAAGAAGAAGGTAGCTAAAATAAAGAAGAAATATACCGATCGGGTTAGATCGATAAGGGTAAACTGGGCTAAGTTAGCCGTAAAGTAATAAAGGGGCCTCTTTATTATATTAGACGATAAGCTAAATGCTCGGCCTTAATAATTAGATAATAGCCGATAGAATGAAGTTTCGCGGTAGTTTTTTTTTAAGGAAAGATATTAATCGCAATATACCGTACTATCCTTTTTAGTTTAATTATTCCTTACGGTATAATTAAACTAGAGAGGCTATAGTAATACGGTAAGACATACCCTCTTAATGTATTACGTAATACGTTACGATAGGCCTTATACCTATATAGAATAACTATAGCTCCCGTAAGTACGGGCTATGCTATACTTATTATCGAGTTTACTACCTAGTTAGATTACTATCTTTACTATTTTTACCTTAATTAAAGATTCGTTTTTGCTATTAAAATCGTCGTTTGCCGATTAATATATCTATCTTAGTTATAAGCGCTTAAGTTACTTCGCCGTACCGCTATAGCCGAATAAGTAACTTTTACGTTTTACCTCTTTTCTCCCCTTATCTCTTATATCTTCGGGCTAGCGACTACTATATCTCTACGACTAAAAAGCATAGCTAAGATACGATAACTACATTAGACTCCTTATCTCTCGATTAGTATAGCGGTACTAGTTTTATTTATCTTAAACCATCGTACGTATTATAATCTTCGATAGAATGTACTTTCGAGTAAACCTATCCGGGTCTCCAGCATCGCGTACGCTCTGCTCCTCCTTAGTATTTACTCTTTTTACTATATCTTTCTAGCCTTCTTCTTACCTTTCTCTTTTAGCCCTTTCCTAACTATCGTTTTTAGTTAGCCGATTAACTAATCAGCTGTTTATAGCTATAATCTAGGTTAATCAGTACTAGGCCAGTTATTAGTAGTTAGGTAGCCGTTTCATGCCTCTATTATAGCGTGCCCACGCTGCTTCTGTTTGCTATAAATCGTTACTTTCGTTTAAAACATCTCAAGTAATTTCTTAAATAATATAATAATTGAAACTTAGCCTTAGCGTTTCTTAATATAAAACTTATGAAATGAATTATTCTTTTTACTTATTTATTAAGCATTATAGAAACTAAAACTTTAATAGCGTTAACTTATTATACAGCTCACCCGTTAGCGTAATTTACAAAACGCTATATATAATAACTAAATAACATGTTGAAACGCCTTTTTAAAAAATAAATTAAATAATAAACACTATAAGATCTTTATTAATAAATTTTAATATTTTAAAAAAGCTTATTTAATTAATATTCATTTAATATTCATTCGTATTGATTAAGTTATAATTTATAATTATATAATTCTATTTACTACTATTTTTAGTTAATAGTTACTATGATAATACATATTTATTTTAATCTATAAAAAAACGCTAAATAAATAGTAAAAATTAATATAAACTAGATTTATAATATTTTCTAAATACCTTTAAACCTAATAGAAAGTTATATAATATAAAAGGGTAAGTTTTAACGTTTTTTTTAGTATCCATACGGGGAGGGGGGGGTCTATGGACAGTATGTCAGCAATAGAGTCGGGGTACGGATACGGTAACTAAATCTAGTAAGGGTTACCTTAATTAGTCATTCTTTCGAAAGAGCTAAAAGAATTACAGCAAGGGTCGCGGTACCGACCTTATTACCTTCCCTTCTTATAATTTCAGAATGGTTTTTATAACTACGTAGGAACTAATATCAAGACGGATATGACAATGTCCAGACGGATATAATGTTTGTATATTCCATAGGTACCTACCTACCTACCTACCTACCTAGACCTACCTACCTAGACCTACCTACCTAGACCTACCTACCTAGACCTGTTGTCTTCATCTTTTTTCTACACACCATGATCTACTACCCATCTTCGAACCTATCTTCGAACCCATCTTCGAACCCATCTTCGAACCCATCTTCTAACCTATCTGCGAACCTATCTGTGAACCTATCTGCGAACCTATCTGTGAACCTATCTGCGAACCTATCTGCGAACCTGTAGGAGCTAGTTCGGGCGCGTAGAATCTATCTATCTTCGAACCTATCTGCGAATCTATCTACGAACCTATGGGAGCTAGTTTAGGTGCGTGGAATCTATCTATCTATCTTCGAACCTGTAGGAGCTATTTCAAGCATATGGAATCTATCTATCTTCGAACCTATGGAGCTAGTTCGCGTGCGTAGAATCTATCTATCTATCTTCGAATCTATCTTCGAACTTATGGAAGAGAGGTAGGTAACAGACGTAAAAGATACAAAGGTACAAAGGTACGTACTTAATAACCTAGAGGTAACCGGGTAATCCTATAGAATGTACCTTTTTTTAAAATAAAGACATTATATCTAGATGGTAACTATGTCGGGAAATGGTAATAATATTAGCCTAGAGTTTAACTTACTCTTATCACGAGGTAGATACTATGTCCAGTTATAGAAAGGGTTGCTGACATAGTATTAATAGACCCCCCCCTCCCTGTATGGATGTTAAGAGGTGGCCTGCGGGGGGTTCCGTGGTCGTGTGATACATGGTATGTCAAGCAGCCTAATATTAGTCTGTAGTGCGTCACGTGAGTACGCGAGTCGGTTCCTTTACCACCGCGACGCGTTATAAAAAATGATCATAAGCACCAGTCAAAATTAACTACGCCCGCCTGTCATTGCGCAATATATGGCGGTTCTCGCTACCGATGCATACTAAAATCCACATTAGTTGCCTAAGCATTCGTCGATTTCCCATGTCGCACATCGAACCGGTTGTTCCCGAGACGGTCGAGTCCAAGGACGACGACCGCCAGCAAAATACTCTGAAGTATCATCTTCTAGGACCATCTCTAACCAAGGCTGGCCAAGATTCGGTCGACCAAGTCAAGGTATCTCTGGCCCTACAGCCTGGTTCTCTTGTCATTTATTCCAAGGGCTTATCCTGATCGACCCCTGCCGCGTAGGTTTCCGAAATCATCTATAACGCCTCGAAAGGCTCGAAGTACTTCAACCGCGAAGAGGTTAGAGATAAGGTCTTGACGCAAAAGATTGAGCAGATACTGCAAAAGAAGCGCCACCTTGAGGTGCTTGATCTGACGCGCGAGCTGCGAGCTGCCGATCAATTCATCGCCCAGCTCGACGCCTCTCGTGATCTGACCCAGTACCTAGTCCATGTCGACTGCGACGCATTCTATGCAGCTGTTGAGCAACTCGACCGCCCTGAGCTCGAAGACCTTCCCTTTGCTGTTGGTGATGGCGTGCTGACTACCTGCAACTATGTCGCTCGTACGTTCGGCTGCCGGAGCGGTATGGCCGCGTTCGTGGCGAAGAGGCTTTGCCCTAATCTGCTCCTGATTCCCCCCAACTTCGACAAATACGCAGCCAAGGCTCGGGAGGTCCGGAAGGTCTTCGTCCGTTACGATCCGAGGTTTGAGAGTGCTAGCATCGATGAGGCCTATCTCAACATCACTGAATACTGCACTGAACGCGACATCGCCCCTGAGCGTGCCGTGCAACAGATGCGGGACGAGATCTATAGCGAGACCAAAATCACCGTGTCCGCCGGGATTGCGGCGAATACCAGGCTTGCCAAGATTTGCTCTAACATAAACAAGCCAAATGGGCAATTCGCCTTAGCCAATGACCGTAATGCGATCATGGCTTTTATGCGGAAATTGCCGACTAGGAAGGTCAACGGAGTTGGTCGGGTGCTAGAGCGCGAGCTCCAAGAAATAGGCATCAATACTTGTGGCGATATCAACACCCACCGTCATTTGCTGGTATGTTGGAGAGCTGGCGCAGAGGGGGTTGTGAAATCTGCTATTAAGATCCTCTCTACTTTCCCATCCCCCTCGCCCATTCTTTTCTAGCATGGCTACTGACACATGACAGTAAGTTGCAACATATCGCTTCCTTCTCCCGGTATATCATTGTTCATCCCTTTCTCTCTTGATATATGCCCCCCAGGGAACGCGAGATGTTAGATACGGGACGGTTAGGCGCCTATCTCTCTTTTCTTCCCCCTAACAAGATGAATAGGCGGCCACTTTTTGGCGACAAGACCTACGAATTCTTAGTCACGTCCTATCTAGGTCTAGGGAGAACTGAGGTACAACCGGTGGAGGAATATGAACGGAAGAGTGTCGGGACTGAGAACACATTTCAAGAGACGGCCGATCCAACTCATCTAAGAGAAAAACTACGGCTGGCAGCCGAAGAGTTGGAGAAGGACTTACGCAGGGCGGAATGCAAGGGCCGGACTCTCGTTTTGAAGGTGAAACTTGATACGTTCGAAGTCCTAACGAGGCAGGTTGTCATGCCGCGAGCCATATATGCAGCGGAAGACCTGTATAGCTGTTCATTGCCTATCCTCGCCAAATTGGAACAGGACATACCCGGCATGAAGCTCCGGTTGATGGGTCTCCGATGCACCCACCTAGTCAGCACCAAGAAGCCTGACCCTCGTGCCTTTTTCGGCCCTAGACCTGTGAGGGCGGCGTCTGGCGATAAAATGCCAGACAACCTGTTAACAGGCCCAATCACCCCGGGTCACACTATTCAAGCACGAACACCAGAACGCGTCCTTGTCGATGATGGCCAAGATGACGCTTCCAGTCCCAAGGTTGAGCGGTTACAGACAACAGAAAGGGATGATACCCCTAACACCTTTAAAGAAACGTCAGTGCAACAGCCAGCGGAGTGGTGGGACTGTCCTATCTGCTGCCTGCCCCAGCTAACTGACGAGCGCCTCTTTAACAATCACATCGACACATGCCTCTCAAGACAGACAATCCGCGATGCCATCCAACGAGACTATGCGTATAACCCAGCCTCTCCTAGTCGTGCTGAACCACCTCCTAAGCGGTTGAAGAATGGAGAGAGAAGAAAGGGCCGAACGGGCAGGCCGAATGACCCTAAACAGAAAAAGCTAGCCTTCACTTAAACTTGTGGAGGGGGGGTGTTTATTGGCGCACTTTCGTCGCTCTCATCTACGAGACCATACCTCCGTATGAGCAGTGCATACTCGCATTCACATACACCCAGCGAAGCCGGTCAGTACTGTACCGTGACGACGGAGAAAGGAGGGTTAGCATTCCATCGTGGATACGACACAGCAGCACGGTTCCGTAATAAGCGTATTCGGAGGGGCGCTTATATATACCTTCCAACGACCCGGAGAAGCCGAAAACGGATGTTACATCCGCGTGGGTTGCCCTCAATGTCCCGCAGCTACACCGGCCAACTCTACGCTCTCTTACCCGTAGACACTCTAGCGCGTATGTAGCTCCAGTTACGTTGGGCCCGACGTTTATTCACAGTGGCTGTACAAAGCGATGGTATGATAGTATCGACAATTGGTGTACGCCGAGCCCTTCCCAGGGCCAGCGAGACGAGGGCCGAGAGGAGTCCACTCCAGCGTGGAGGTCTCGAGATCAACTAGTCCGAACGGTGACCGATTCGCCCCATTCGACATTAAAGGCACGGAGAGAAGCCAAGGGAGATTAACGAGTGCTTAGTCGCTCACTCCACTTGAGATTGGACCCGTCACATAGCCCCTAGAGCTTAAAGCAGTAGAGAGAGAGCAAGACGGAGGGTCCGTACCGATCCCCGAAGGCGGAAGAGTGGAGTGGGATTTCTCTTTTGACTGTCGATATTTCTATCTTCTTTCTCGCTGTCGGCAATACGACATGGCGGGGCCGTTTCGTAGTACACCTGGGGTAAATTTTACTTGACTACGACGTCCGAAATAAACTGATTTCCATTCTACCTTCCGCTCCCTCAAGCGTGCAGACGGGGGGGGGGAGGGACTAAGAACCCTACTTGCGCCGTGATTTACAAGTACAGAAGGTAGTGGTTCATCTAGAGACTGTAGATGGGGCCGGCTTCCTTGTCGCGCGTGCCTACATATATGACCTATGCAGATACTAGGAAGTAAGAGGAAGGGTGGTGGCGGTGTATAGTGACTATCGACATCGCCGCTACTCCGTGGGTGTACTAGTAATAGAATGCTGGACACATGCGAACGGACGCATTTTCCTTCGTTTAGTGCACGATAAGAAAATATAGTTAGGACCCAACTAGGTAAACGAGACTTCGGTGACATTCAACAAGGTCATAGGACACTTACACCATAGGAGGAAGCCTGGGATGAAAATATCGCGGCCACTATCCTCCTAGAGCTCATCGCGTTCCTGTGCGCCGTTAGCGGTGCCAGTTGCAGCACCAGCACCCTCGGTGGTCTCCTCAACTCTGTTCACCTTCGACTGCTTTTCCACCTCGGCGGAGGAGGCTTCCTCTGTCGCGTCGCTGGCGGGCGTACCCGTGGCGTCTGTAGCCTTCGTGACAATCGACTCGGGTTGAGGGACGCCTTTAATGCCCACGAGTTCCGTCTCGAATACTAGAGAGAGATCGATATTAGGCTTCCCTTCGGCCCGAGCTGGTAAAAGTACCCGCAAGCTAGCTAGCTACGTACCGAGCGTAGATCCAGCTGGTATGGGGCCCATGCCTCGATTCCCGTATCCCAGCTCTGGGGGGACGGTCAAGGTTCTAGTGGGTGGTCAGTTTTTGCTTCTACCTCGGGGTTCGGATATAGTAGGACAGCGTATCACTGTCGGGGCGGGAGACGGAGGGGAAGGGGGCGGTTGATGCTTCTCTTACCTCTTCTCGCCAATGCACATATCCAAAAGCCCTTGATCCCATCTACACTGGTGTTAGGGGCGCGTTGAAACCGGGGAGGAGAGAGAAGGGGACGATTCAGTGACGGACCCCTGAATGACCTGACCGCCCCCGAGTCTAAAGCTGAAGGGAGTGCCGCGGTCATAGCTAGCATCGAATTTATTTCCGTTGGAAGCAAGAGTACCCCGGTAATGTACCTGGATGGTGTCGCCCTTTTGGGTCTTTCGATCGCACTCCACCGGTAGAGTCACGTCGATCTTGAGATCAGAAGGGCTCGAAGCCAGAGCGCCAAATGCAACGGAGGCTGCGAGGGAAAACGAGAGGATAAAAGACCGCATGGTTCTTGAGTGCGAGTTAACGAATTAACGCCTAGATAAGTGTAATGAATGTAGCCTATCGATTAGCAACCATAACGGGAGACGTGTCTATAAGAGAGACTTGTAACGTCTACCTACCTGAAGTATGGGTATGATATTATATATGTGGATGTGGATGTATATATATATACTCAGTATCTCTTGTATATATAGTAGAGGGATAGATGAAGTTGTGACAAGGAGCCGAATATTAGACAGCTTGTTGGCCAGCTGGCTGGTAGCGAATTTAGGTATATAATGAAATTAGTATATTTTAGTTAATCTTAATATTCTTTCTTGGATGACCTTTTAGGAAAAGCTTTCAATATAGTTAAAAAGAAACTAAAATCGCTACTATAAATTAAATATATATATATATATTAATTTTTTTAAATTATTATACTTATATGATAGATTTTATTATATTTTATTATATATATTGTATATAATAGAAATATTATTTCGAAGTTTAAAGAAAAATGAAAACTAAAACTAAACATATTAGTTAATTATTTAACTAATTATTTTTATGAAAATATTATATAAAAAGCTATCTAGCTTTTTATATTTAATTAGTTATTTGTTTACTTAACTAAGCTTATAGCTTGCTTATTCCATATAGCTTATAGCTTTTTATTATTATAGTAGTACGGTAAGACATACCCTCTTAATGCATTACGTAACACGCTACGATAGGCCTTATGCCTATATAGAGTAACCATAGCTCCCGTAAGTACGAGATATACCATACTTATTACCTAGTTAATTACCTAGCCAGATTACTATCTTTATTATTTTTACCTTAATTAAAGATTCGTTTTTATTATTAGATTCGTCGTTCTCCGATTAGTATATTTATCTTAGTTATAGGCGCTTAAGTTACTTCGTCGTACCGCTATAGCCGAATAAGTAACTTTTGCGTTTTATTTCTTTTCTCTCCTTATCTCTTATACCTTCGGACTAGCGACTATTATATCTCTACGACAAAGGGGCATAGCTAAGATATAATAATTATATTAGATTCCTTATCTCTTAATTAGTATAGCGATATTAATTTCATCTATCTTAGGTTATCGTACGTATTATAGTCTTCGATAGAGTATACTTTCGAGTAAACCTATCCGGGTCTCTAACATCGCGTACGCTCTATACCTCCTCATTATATATAGATTTTCTTTTAAAAAAACATAGGTATACTATAAGTATTATAGTGGTACGGTAAGACATACCCTCTTAATACATTACGTAATACGCTACGATAGGCCTTATGCCTATATAAAGTAACCATAGCTCCCGTAAGTACGGGACATACCATGCTTATTATCTAGTTTATTACTTAGCTAGATTATTATCTTTATTATTTTTACTTTAATTAAAGATTCGTTTTTACCATTAAATTCGTCGTTCTTCGATTAGTATATCTATTTTAATTATAAGCGCTTAAGTTACTTCGTCGTACCGCTATAGCCGAATAAGTAACTTTTACGTTTTACCCCTTTTCTTTCCTTACTTCTTATACCTCCGGGCTAGCGACTACTATATCTCTACGACCAAGGGGCATAGTTAAGATACGATAACTACATTAAATTCCTTGCCTCTCGATTAATATAGCGATATTAGTTTTATCCGTTATAGACTATCGTACGTACTATAGTCTTCGATAGAATATACTTTCGAGTAAACCTATCCGGGTTTTTAGTATCGCGTACGCTTTATACCTTTTTAGTAGCGATTACCCTATAACTTTTTCGATCCCTTAACCTTTAGTCTACGGAGTTTTTATTACGCTACTAGGATTTAAAGGATACCGATCGCCGTCGGCGCCGTTATTTAACCCGCGAAGTAGTCCGCGTTTTACGTTAAATAAAGTATCCCGTCTTATAATTATTTATTTACTATAGGGAGGTACGTATAAGCCCGGGAACTTTTATAACGATACTACTATTACTAGGATAATACCTAGCCCTTAATACTTATAACGTTAATAAGCTATCGATACTACGATATAATACGACGATTAAATCGCGTTTATACCGATTAAGACATTCCTCGTATGGTTATTTATTTATTATACGAAAGAACCCGTAAAACCCGGAGAACTTTCGTCGTAATACTACCGCTACTAGGGATAATACTTAGCCTTCGATATTAACCGCTTCTTTAAACCGCTAATAATATAGTATATTTCGTACGAGTAAATAAAGCTTATAGCGATTAAGGTAGCCCCCTTATAATTATTTATTTACTATATAAACTAAACGTACGAACGCCTTAATATAAATTACGATAACTTATACGACCCGCTACTTCTTTATTAATACTAAGGGCGGATAAAGGCTAATAGTAATTATACTTTAACCGATCTTACGATAGCTTCTTTTTTTCTTCTAAACTTATTAATCGATATAAACTAAATATATAAATATTAATAACTTATTATACTAAAGGTATTTTAAGATATTTAGGCGTAACGATTCGACGATATAATATACGATATAATATAGATATTTATATTAATAATATAGATAGGATTAATAAATTAATAGCTATTAATAACTAATAGTTTTAAAGAGAACTAGGAATTAATATTAATAAGACTACGTAGATATAAAGGATTAGGGAAACGGAACTAGAATCGAGCTAATAAGTATACCTATATATAGGCTAGCCTTATATTACTAATTAATAATTAATATAACGAGAAGTATTAACATAGGCGTAAAACGGCGCCTAGCGGTAATACCGCTAATATTATTAAATAGCTCCCGTTAGATCGAAACCGGCTTATGGTTATAACCGGTATCGTATCTAGCGCGATTCTTTACTCGGGATCTATCCTTTATACGTATTATCTTAACGAAGGTTATACGTTAAAAGTTCTAGGCCTTAATAAGAGGGATTATCGTCGATTTATTTATAATAATTAAACTATTAATCTAAGGAATACGTATCGTACTTTAGTTAGGCGTTAGCTAACTAGAGAAGCTCGTATAATATCCGGACCTTATCGATCGGGATAATATAATAAATAATGATATACCTATACTAGAGGAAAAGTATTAGGATATAGATAATAGCTATTATACCTTTACCCTTATATTAAATAATAAGACCCTTACTACTCCTCTTTTTACTTTATACCTCGTACCGTTAAACTAAACGGAATCCATAGCTAGGAAACGGAATAAATCGCTATCGGGACTTAAAGTAATAAAGACTAAATTACTAATAAAGACCTTAAGAGTCGATACTAGCTTTCCGCTCTTATATCCGCCCGAAGAGAAGAAGGACGACGATAAAACTCCTACTTAGCTACTCCTTAACCGCGGCTTTATACTTATCCCGTTAATCCTTATGGTATTATCTTAAAATAATAATAACAGGGCCTTTAGTAGTTAGAATATACCGGTAGCTATCCCGATTATCGTAATGCTAGTTATTAGGTTCCCTAACCCTACCGATTACCCTAGGCTTAAGTTTAATAAATATAATATAACCTAATAACTAAAAAGGGTAAATCGATTATTTAACCGCTACCGTATAAGCGACGACGATAAGATTAAGGAGATCGGCGAATAGATTACGACTAAGATTATTAGGAAGCGTATTAACGATATTACGAAGGATTAAACGATCTAGAGAGTTATCGTTATAGCCCTAAAGTATTATTTTAAGATTACCGATAAACTAAGATAAGCTAACGTTAAACGTAAACTCGTATAACTAGAACGAAGTAACGTAATTAACGATCCTAAGGCGATCTTTACGTATCTTATAAACTATAAACGTCTTTCTAAGCTCGTAAACGATAACGGAAAGCTTCCCTAAAAAGTAGGATACCTAACCGATAAATTCCGGATATCCTTAATTATAAAGTTCTATAAAACGGGAAACTATAATTATAATAAAATCGGAGATATCGATTACCGGATTCTTTATACCTAGCTCTATAAGTAAGCGGAACGTCGTATAGTAATATAAATTACCGATAAAACCTAAGCCGAAGAACGACGATAGTAAAAAACGGTAACTTTCGAGGAACCCGAGAAACTTATAATATAAATAATTTAACGATTAACGACTTCTAGCCTTTAAATACCTTTACTACCGCCTCCTTCGTAGCCTAGATCCTTTTACGGCTACCTAAGTACTAGCTAGGAAGCTAGTATATAGGCCTTTTACGATTAACTTAACGCTCTAGAGATAAAAATAACTTCGTAGAACTACCGTTAAAAGAATAGCTTTTATAGCCCTAGGGATACGTACGGCGCCGATTAATAATATCAGTAGGAAAACCCGTTCCTAGTAAACGCGGTTCGGAACTTAAGTCTTTATAACCTATAAACTAACAGAAGGACCCTAGTAAGCTTTAAACGTAATACTATACTAAACTACCGAGGTATACGTAGTAGGATTTTATTAACTTAAACGAGTAATTATAAGGAATTCGAATACTAATTTTATAATATTTTCGATCGGCTTTATAACTATAGCCGCTATCCGCTATTAATAGATATAACCTAGAATCGGTTCTACTATAGAAGTAATAAGCGATTATATTACCTCGAAAACGGAAACCCGGATAAGCTAGAGTTAATATTAATCCTAGGATCGATTATTACCTAAGCTAAGCGTAAAGAAAAACCGATCGCTTATTATATCTTATTTTACGTATATTAAAGTAAGGAATCTCTAGAATAAGTACGTAGGATAGCATATTACTACCTAGCCGAAAAGCTAAAGCTTATATCCCTCGACCTACGATACTTTAAGAGCGAGGATATAGTACCGAAGTAGGAAGAAATACCTAAAGCTATATCGGAGATTAACGTTATTTAAATAATCGAACGTAAATATAACTACGAATTATACGAGATTAAGATCTTAGGTTATAATTAGACTAAGGGTTTTATCGACGACGAAGATATCTACTATTATAAGGATATCATTAGAACGAACTTAATCGAAGTTAACGTAATTAA